GTCAGCCAAAGTTGAACGTTCAGGGAAGAGGCCTAGAGTATTTTTGAGGGGGCCATTCCCCCTATCATGGCTAGGACATCCACCCTGTTCAGATGGCTAGAGATGCTGCCTGAGGTGTTTTTAAGTGGCTGCTTCTTGGCTTTGAGAATTATGAGGAGAAGAGGCTTATACTGGGGCTAACGGTTTCCTCAAACAGCCATGGGGTTGTTTGAGAGTGTGATGTGATAGGTATCTATTCTAGCTGGCTTGTGCTTGCTCAGTGCCCAGTGTAGCAGTTTATGACCCCACTGGCCTCCTTAGATCATCATTGTAGGGCCTTGTACAGGTGCCTGGCCCACAAATTGCCCACCTGTCTAGCACCAGGGCAAGAGCATTTTCAGTGGCTGCCCCTTCCCTCTGGAACAAGCTGCCCAGGGAAGTTTGTGCCTTATGGGACCTTCCAACATCAGGCATGCAAGGAGGCTATGTTGTTTCAAGTGGTCTTTGGGTAGCATTATGAATTGGGGAGCTGTTGTTTTGAATCCTTTCACAATGGCTTGTCAAGCTGATGTTTTAATTGATTTTGTCATTTTATACTTGTATTTATTTATATTTGATTTATATTTACTGTATTTTAAATGCTGTAAGCTGTCTTGAGTCCCCTGCGGAGAGGGGGAGTGGGGTATAAATTAATGAAATAATTTCCCAGTTAAGTCCCGGTTAAGTATCTGGCAGGCTTAGTTGTTTCCCACATGGCACTGCCACCCCCCTCCTTTTCTCTCTCTGTTTGCTCCTTTGTCCTTCATTCCTCATTTCTGTGGAGACTGGAACTGCTCTGTCAGGGAGATGGATGGCATTTGTGTCTCAGAAATCAGCAGAGCCAATGACAAATGAGGTGCAGTTCAGCAAGAACTAATGTAAAGTGTTGCTTACAACGGAAGACAGAACCAGTATAAAGAAGAGTGGGTTGGAGAGGTGGAGGGAGGAGTGGAGCCGTCCCAGTGGATGACAAACAGGGCAGAGGGTCCCTGCTGTGTTGCTGTGGTAGGAGAGTTGTCTCTTTGAGCTATATTATCATGTTGCACATCAGCAGTGCACCACGAATACCTTGCCTTTCACTCTGAATTTTATCCGTTCCGCTTTACACCCCACACTTCCTTTAAGGAGCTCAGGGGCCCAGTTATCTTGGCCACAGTCATTTGAGGCTGGGCAGGCTAGGAAAAGGTGGTTGGCCTCAGGGGCACAAGATCTTTCCCCAGCGTGCTGCATGTGGTGGCCTTGGATCTCCTTTGGGCACACCCGTTGAGTACTGGCCCTCCAGTCTCTGGCTATGCTCCTGCGCCTTTAAGGTCATCCACAAAGCCCCCCTCTCTTGGCGGCAGCAGTTAAGGAGTTGAGCTTTCTCCCCTAGTAGATGCCACGCCTCCCAGCTCTCTCTGTATAAAAAGAATGCTGTTTGGATGCCTTCAGTGAACACAGTGCAAAAGGTTTTCTGAAACCTCTGAAGCTTAGGTGGCTCGCCTGTACCACCAATGTACCTCTGTTTCTGACTGTACTTGATCCTTGAACGCTGCTTCTGAAACCTCTGAAGCTTAGGTGGCTCGCTTGTACCACCAATGCACCCTATACCAGTCCTCTGTTCCTGACTGTACTTGATCCTTGAACGCTGCCGATTTAGCCTCTGTAGGAAGCCAGCTATTGTCTAAATCTGGGGAAAATTAAGATCTCCTAATCCCTGCTTCAGCTCAGTTGCTTGCAAATGGTAACCTTTGGGGAGATGCTGGCTCCTCCCTTCCTGCTGTTACAGTGGGTCTGTCCAGAATTTTTATTGCCAAGAAATTCTTGGACGCTCTCTTAGAACATCTGGAAGAGGATAGGAGCTGAGCTGCCCTTGTTAGGAAGCATGTGTGGGAATCTGCAGAATCATTATTTTAGAGCCAGTTGTTCTAGTATAGTTAAGTTGTGCACTCTTGGGGGGGGGGAAGAAGATGCAGTGGGGGATTCTGTCCAAGGGTCTTATGCTAACTTGGCAAGTCCTGGACCTCTCCTTGCCCAGTAGATTCAGAGGAGTGGCAGTCCTGAAATGTCTGGGGACTTGCTGCAAAAACGCTGCAGGAAGAATTGGTTTAGCAGTTTAAAGAAACCCTTCTTGTGTGGGTTTTTTCTGATGGGAAAACTAGAAATAACTCCTACAGAATATTTTCTCATTAGAATGAATGCTTTTAAATATAGCATTTTACGCATTTTGAATATGCAATGTGAAGATTTTTTTATGTAAGACAGTTCCCTACGTGGATGCTGACAATCCTGGCACATAGTGCAAAGATGCATTGTTTAAAATGTTTAGATATCTTTAAACATTGTCCATAGTGAGTAAGTTATAATGTGTATGATGATTCTACACTATTGAAGATGTCAGTGTTTTCAGCATCGTAAATGTCAATACCCAATACCCAGTGTCAATATACAAATATGCTGCAAACTCTGGAATGGCTATATTGCACAGGATTCTAGGATGGGCCACTGAGATCCTGTGCGCCACCTCTTTTCACGTCTCTTTCCTGCCGCTGCTACTGCTGCTGTCTGCTTGGGTTTGCTTCTACAGTCAGGCAAACCCTGCATCTAAGGTTAGTCTCAGGGTTGCTAAAGAAGAAGAAGAAGAGATTGGATTTATATCCCGCCCTTCACTACCCAAAGGTGTCTCAGAGTGGCTTACAAACTCCTTTCCCTTCCCCTCCCCACAACAGACACCCTGTGAAGTAGGTGGGGCTGAGAGAGCTCTTGACAGAAACTGCTCTTTTTCAAGAACAGCTCTTATCAGAACCACAGCTTGCCCAAGGTCATCCAGCCCAGGTGCAAGTGGAGGAGCGGGGAATCAAACCCGGTTCTCCCAGCTTAGAGTCCGCGCACTTAACCACTACACCAAACTGGCTAAACATGGAACATCCAAATCACCCTGGTTTCTGTTAGTCACTGGTAAGTTTCCCTGTACAAGCCTCTGTTGAAATGGATGGAAGCCATGCAAGAGCACTGTCATGCAGCTTATGTTCATTTTAAAAGGGTTTGAATGGGAGAACCTCCTAGGCCGGGGTTTGTGCTGTCTGGGTTGCTGACTCTGGGTTGGGAAATTATTGGAGATTGGCGGGCAGGGTCACAGTTTTTTAGCCTCCGGCTCACACATTTTCATCTCAGCTCAGGAAGGAGGGCTCCAGAGCAAACTAATTTATGCTGCAGCCAAATCACTTGCTCATGACTTTAATGCCAGTAGCTCACAAAGTAGGATTTTTGCTCACAGGACTCCACAGCTTAGAGGGAGCATTGCTGGCCACCCTATGCATCTGCCTGCCTTCGAATCATGTTGAAGGAGATTCAGGATTAGTGACTATGAACCTTGCACTATTGGGTTGATTATGAAACGAGGTAGAAAGAGGCAGGGAGTGTAAAGACTGGTCCTGCTGCTGGTTGGCTGCGATATTCTTAGTACGTGTTTCTATTCTGCTTTTTCTTTCTTTGAGGAGAACAATGCATGGCGGATGGAGGGCTGGGCTTCCTGCTGTTGGTGGCTTTGTTTCATGCATGGGGAAGCATCTTGGGAAATAAGTTTTCTGCCTCGTGGGCACCTATTAAATTCTGAAGACTGATGATCAGATTATGCTATAGTATCACGGAACACAGAAAAATGCTGAAAGTGGGGCTGTGGGCAGAATTTGGCTTGCGCAGAGTATCTCAGTGTATTTTTTTTTTCCTTTTAGAAAGCAAAGCTTTTAGTCCTTATGGCTGCAGCAATAAATATAAAACTGTGTGGGCAAAGCCTGCTGAAATTTCAAAAGCCAGAGCTTGCTGTCTTGATAAAATCTCCAGAATAATTTATGCAAAACAGTTCGAGATGCAGAAAAAGTTAAAGAAAACAAAAGATTATGCAAATTAGGCTGAATTTGCACTATTTAGGGTGCAGAATGTAGGCCATTTTTTTAAAAAAGCCACCCTTATAATTCTAAACCACAGCCGTCCAAGACACTGCACCCAGAAAAGATTAATTGTGCAAGCTGCATAATTTATGTAAGTGAAACGCCTTACTTTGCAAAACTTATTCTTGGGTTGTACATGATTTGTTTAGGCTCTGCAATGCCTGGGAGGGGCAGGGAGCACTGAGACCCCTGCTGAGAGATTTCGGCAGCCAGGGCTGCTTTTCCTCACAATGGAAGGGGAAGTGCTACAGAATCTGTATTTGTTACTCAAGAAGACCACACTTCTGTTCTGTGAAAGAACAGTGCATGTGTGTGGGTGCAATCCTGACTGCAGTTCCTGCAAATCAGCCACTCAAGGCCTCTAAGCCAAAGGAGGCCCTGCAGGGTTTGCTGCCTGGCCTCCCCGAGTTGCCAACCTTGAGGGTAAAGAAGTGTGAAGGAAACGAGTTTCAATACTTGAACCCATGAAGCTGCATTATCGTGAATCAGACCCTTAGTTAGGATTGCCAGGTTCGGCCATTGGTGGGGACTGGGGAATAGAGTTGTCAGATCCAGGCTGGGAAACTCCTGGAAATTTGGGGATGGAGCCTGAGGAGGGGAGATAGCCCTCCAAAGCATTTTCTCCAAGGGAACCGATCTCTGTAGTCTGGAGATAAACTGTAATACTGGGGGATCCCCAGGTCCGACCTGGAGGCTGGCATCCCTACCCTTGGTCCATCCAGGTCAGTATTGTCTACTCTGACTGGCAGTGGCTCTCCCTGTGAGGTCTATCACATCACTTACTACCTGATACTTTCAATTGGAGATGCCAAGGATTGAACCTGGGACCTTCCATATGCAAGGAAGAGGCTCTACCACTGGGCCACAGCCCTTCCCAATTTACCAGCAGCTAACTATGTAGGAAGGGGTTGAAGTACTGGCTCCTCACTAGGTTTCCTTCTCAAAATGTCCCTCCGGGCAAACAAATTGCTGATAAGACTGTATCCCTGGCATCTTCCTGTCCCTTCCAACAGCAGCTTTTTTCTTTCTTTTAAACGCAGGTCCTGATGAAAGGCTCCCCTGAGAATGGACTACAGCAGCGAGATACACTTGGTCCCTTGTGGAAAAGAGAAATACATTTCAAAGTAAGTCACTGAAAGGGGGCAGGTCCCAGATGGATCTGCAGTTTTTGCAGCTGGTGTTGTCATAATCCCCCGGGGCATTGTCTGGCTTTTGTGTGCATGGGCACGCCTGTGACGGAAGTGGCGATAGACATTTGCAAGTCATGAAGCTGTGGATGCAGGGGAAATGAGGACAGGCACCGAATGAGTTGCAGCTGTTGCTGTGTAATGGGTTGGAAGCCCCTCAAAAAGAAAGGGGGTCTGGAGACATCTGTTAAACAAGCAAAAATGCTTGTGGGCACCTGAAGGTAGGTGTCTTTGTGAGAGAGTGTATTCCAACAGGAGAAGCTCTTAGTTGCACTTGGTTTCCAGCTTCTGCTTCAGCAATGTTGGTTCCCTAGTCCACCGTGGTATGCAACCCAGAGGTCATCTACTTTCCACTGGTACGTAGGGAGTGTGTTTTGGCCTTGAGGAGGGAGGGGGGCACATGGGCCCTCAGAATATGGTTCCATATCAAATCCTTAATCTAGCGGGTGCATTCCCTCTTCCTGAATGAAGGTACACAAGCTTGTTGATGCTTATCAGGAGGGATTCATCCATTCTCCATTTGCTTCTTTTGCCCCCTTCCAGAAATGAGTTGCTGCTGCACTTGAAGACATATAACTTGTACTATGAAGGTCAGAATTTGCAGCTACGGCACAGAGAGGTAAGAAATAAATTCTCTTTCTGGACTTGGCAGGAAGGTAACATCACACAGTGTGCTAAAACAAAACAAAAAAGGTTACAATTATTCGCCGTCCAAAGTCTGTACCAAAACAACTGGTTTCTTGGATCTGTGTACATTACACAAAATGAGAAGAGCATGTGCATAACTTTTTATTATATGTAACTGACTGCAACTTTTACACTCTTTTTTATAATTGAGATGTTGCTTGCTGTTACTAGGCATGAAGAACAAGCACGACCTCTGCAAAATGTTGAAACCAAAACCTCCCAGTTGCTGCAATCAGCGCACACAGAGGGGGAGCATACATGTCCATGCTCACGAGCCCACAATTGCACTAAAAATGAGGCCGTTGTGTGCTTGTACTGGTTTCCCTTTCTGTGTGCTCTGATTGAATGTGCAGAGGTGCGTGTAGAGGGCTGGTATGAAAATGGGGGCAGCTTTGCAGAGTATCCTTATAACCAGGGCTATTTTTGTAGAAAAAGCCCAGCAGGAACTCATTAGCATAATAGGCCACACCCAACAGCAGGAACACATTAGCCTATTAGGCCACACCCCTGACAGCACAGCACATTAACATATTAGGCTACACCCCCATGTTACCAGAAGTGTGGTCATCCCGCCACACCCACCTTTTGCTTCTTATTCTGTTTACCTTGCTTGTTGTCAAAACCCAGGGCTGTTTTTGTAGCAGGAACCCTTTTGCATGTTAGGCCACACACCCCTAATGAAGCCAATCCTAATGAGTTTCTGCTGTTTGGTGTGGCCTATTATGCTAATGAGTTCCTGCTGGGCGTGGCCAACTTGGGAGCCAGCGTTCCTGCCCAAAAATAGCCCTGCTTATAACAGCCCCTTTTTGAATCACTCACAAGCCTCTCTCTCTTTCTGTTCCTTTTCTCCTCCAGGAAGAAGACGAATTCATAGTGGAAGGCTTATTGAACATCTCCTGGGGTTTGCGCCGGCCAATCCGCTTGCAGATGCAGGATGACAACCAGCGCATCCGCCCCCCGCCATCCTCCTCCTCCTGGCACTCAGGCTGCAATCTGGGAGCGCATGGGTCAGTGCAGGGTGCATATGTATGGACTAGTTTTTTTGTGCCCAGATACCTTCAGAGGGACTGGCTGCAGGTTGTATGTGCCGGGAAGGCCCCAGTGCCAATTGTTAAAGGAATGGCAGCTTTGGAAAGGGGTTATTTTCTTCTGCAGACCCCTCTGCTCCCTGTAGGATCCCAGCTGTGCATGCAACTGCAAGGCTGTGCTCACGGTTAGCTTACTGTAACCATCTCTGGCGTCAGGGAGCTTGATTCATTCAGCTTCTGAGACTCTGTAATCGAAATGATCACAGGCTGCAGCATAAATAAGAGTACAAAAATAAATGCTTTGTGGCCGACTCTATCACTTCTGCTGTTGCCACAGTCTGTTGCTACCATTGCATGAAGCCGTTCTGTGCAATACACAGAGTTGAGGCGATAGAGTTCTGGACTGCGCCATGTCGGGGCGGAAGAGATTAGATTTTGAAATGCTCATTTCATTTGCAGACAGCCTCTTTTTGCATGTAGAAAATGAACACATCATCTTACTGTTTTCGGTTGAAATGGATAAAATGACTCGAAAGCTTAACAATATGGAAGCAGAAGATTTCTATAATGATTGGAGAGATTTAAAAGACTATTTGGGCAAATATTGGGATGTAAGAGACAATTTATTTTGCTTTAGTAACTACTGAATATTGAATTTTAGTAACAAGAAAGGATAGAGATAATAATTGTAATAGTTGAATAATAGTTACCTAGTGAACGTGTAATGAGGAAATAGATGGAGGAGAGAAGGTTAAGCAATATACAGGAGGTCGTAGCCCTGTGGGAAGCCATATGGGGGGGGGAAGGGAGGTGGGTAGGATGTAAAGGGTATAAATGTAAAATCAATGTTGGTTGTGATTGATTATATCTTGAATAAAAATTTGTTTAAAAAAAAAAGAAAACAAAATGAACACATCAAGGAGAGAAGCTTAGATTAGCCTTCCCCCTGATGAAATGACTTATTACATGTTGGGAGGATCTTTTCTTAAGCATGGGAGAGCCTGACCCACCTCTTCCCACTGTCTCTTTCTCTGTCACATGCAGAATGTTTCAGAGGTTAATGCTGATGCTAGTTTTGGTAGACTTTCTTTTAGTCTTTCACTGTGTAAATCAGGAAGAGTCATTTCCTTTTTCTCCATGGTTTTCATAGGCCGGTAACCACTTCAGATGCTACTGGGGCTGTTAACCTGAAAGCTTGGGGAATCAGTTGTTGGAATGTTATTTTAATATGTCGTATAACCAGGGGTCATTTCGTAGAAAAAGAGCTAGGGGGACTCATTAGCATAACTCATTAGCATTTTCCACACCCCCTGACATCACCGGAAGTGTGTCATAAGGCCACCGGAAATGTGTCATAAGACCGCCCCCAACGGTCCCGGCCGCCACCGCCGGCCTTGCAGCTCTACTGCCGAGCCCCATGAGGGGCCCGGCGGTGGACCTGGAAGGCCGGCAGGAGTGCAAGGAAGCCCCGCAAAGGCCCTCCCTGGCCCCAGGCAGGCAGGCAGGGGTGGGGAGAGGCAGGGAGGAAGCACCTTCCCCTTGGTGCCGTCTGCCCCCCCCCCCCCCCGGCCATGCACCGGATCTCCAGAAACAGCAGTTCCCTGCACTTTTTTTTTAATTTATAAATTTTTAATTGGTTTTGCCAACATATATACATAGACAGAACAGACAAATAAACAAATAAACCATATATCTCCACACCCAACCCACACCCATCCCCCCACCCTGCCAACGCTGTTGGGTTTCAATATCACGTTAACTATATATGGCATACATAAGATAAATTCTCTCGAGTATTACCAATCGCCCTTACAGTTTCAGTATCTCTAGGTCTTTCCTTACATTCAATAAATTTATCAAATCTCTTGTGATTTATTCTGAACTTAATAATCTGATAGGAAGAATCACCTCTTAATCAGTTACAGCAGTCATCAGAGTCTCAATATTGCCTATGGGTTGTATTCGTTGTATTTCATTCAACCAGTAACATTATAATTCAGTAAACCTATTACTCAGAACTTAATATGGAGTAATTAAAAAGGATTTTGCACCAATTAATTTCATCCCACTATTTTCACATAATCACTATTTACTTATTCTAAAAATTTTCCATCAACTTCCTGGCTTTTTGCAATATCCTCCATAATATCAAAAATAAAATAAAGAAAAAGAGAGAGAAACTAAAAATCTGTCCCCAATTACTTCGTCCTGTTGTTTTTTGGTATGTATTCTTCTCATACACATCCCTCAAGCACATTTATCTAATTACTTAATCATCCATTGATATTGCCAATTCCGAAGTTCTGCTTTCTAGAAAGTATTCTGAACAAAAAATATTTTCATGCAATTATACTATTCCATTTATACTGCTAGACAAATATTAGCAACTTCTACACAAAGTACATTTCAGTGCAATTTTCAAATTCCATTTATACCGTTGGATATGTATTTCTGATTTATTACCTTAATAAAGAAGTAATAAATTCACAAAACCTAAATTATTGTTTCCAGGTTCCGTTTCTTTCCTGATTTCGTTTTCCTTGCTTTCTTGCCAGTGCCTCAAGTCTTTGTATTCCTCAAATAAAAGACCCACCAGGTCCTTCCCTCACCTGTAATTCTCTGCCTTCTTCATCTTTTTCTTTATTCTGCCTTTCTTCAGTGCCTTCTTCTGTCTTTGAAAAGGCTTGGCACACCTTTTTGCCCCCTTTCTAATTTTTAAGTTATTCCTTTTTTGAAAAGTACCTTTTAGGGGGTGACTTCCTTTTGTCTCTGCATCTGCCGGGGTTTGGCCGTCGTGCTGTGGCTCATGTTTTTTTCCCGTCAACTTGTTTTCCGAAGTATCATACTGGACCTGTAATTTTTGTAGACTAGTATTGTTATTGTTGTTATCATCAACAGGGAAATTTGAGGGTTCCTTTAAAGTCTTAGTCCATATTTGCTGCAATGCTTTATCCAGTTTCTCCTTTAATATAATTTGGAAGCGTTCCGAGTTCAGTTCGGCTTTTATTGCTTCGCAAACGAGCGCCACCGCCGCCATTTTCTTTTTAAATCAGTTATCTAGTTTTCCTTTATCATTGTGGCCGAGATTTTCCTTCAGTTGTAAGTTTGTACCCAAAATAGAGGATGATAATTCCGGTAAAAAAGTTTGGACTCTTACCCCTTCATGTAGCATAAAGCCCCTTCCATAGTTCCGGCCGCTTTTCACCGATGGGAGGTCTGTAAGAGGGGAATTGAATCCTTTCCTTCATTAAATTTTCGTTTAGTAGATCTGCCGTTCGAAGTTATATCAAAAAATACACCCGTGCAAAAATTTAAACGTTTTAAAATCGCGGCTGGCTGCTGCTAAAGGGAACCATGACAGGCATGTTCCCTGCTGCCCGACGCTCCTGCGTCGCGGCCAATTGGCTGGCGGCGGGTATAACCCCCCCAAAACAGGGGACTCCTGGCAAACCGGGGGGGTTGGCAACCCTACTCAGAAGCGAAGCAGGGTCAGCCCTGGTCAGTATTTGTAGGGGAGACCACCAAGGAATACCAGGGCTGCTACACAGAGGCAGGCGATGGCAAACCTCTGAATGTCTCTCGCCTTGTAAACCCTATGGGGTTGTCAGCTGCAACTTAATGGGAAAAATGACTTGATGTGGCTATACTTGAATAATTTAGGCTACACTTGAATAAATAGGGACAGACTTAAGATCACCACGGCTATTTTTGTAGCTAGGGAAAAAAGCAGCTTGTGTTGTGCCACTCATGCGAGTAGACCATGAGCATGGGCAGCACATTAGGTGATGGTGGGACAGTCTGCACTGACTGTTGCTTTGAATGTGGGAAGCAGGAATCATTAACCTTCTTTTTCACTTTTTGGTTTCTTTGTGTGTCTCATGATCAGGTCTGTTATAAAACCCAGTACCTTGCCGGACATTGAAGTAACTGATGCTGAGCCTTCAGTGGATGATGACGAAACTGACAGTACAGTTGGTAAGGCAGCAACAGATTCCGGAGGGTGGGAACCTTGCAAGTGATCAGTAGTTAAGGTTCTATCCCATTCGTCCTCTAAGGAACTCGGAGCAGTTTACACTGGCCCGTAGCTAGGGTGGGGCATTTCAGGGCTCTGCCCCCTCAAAAGTGAGGCACGCCCCACAACAGCTGCTGTCCCTCCCCCTCCCCCCTCCCGTAACATTCAAAGTGCCCTCCAGCTGATCAGCGGGAGCATGTGGCCTGCCAATCAGCTGGAGGGCCCTTTAAATCTTGCAGCCACCCTTTAAATGCTGTTCTTCTAGCCGGGACTGCCTGTACCTGATCTCCAAGCAGCAAAATCACCGCTTGGAGTTCAGGGAAGGTGTGCAGCCTTAAAGGGAGAGGGGTGATTGCTGGCTGCACACCCTCCCTGAACTCCAAGCAAGCACTGCTTGTCGTTCAGGGAAGGCATACAGCTGGCAGCCCCCCTCCCCCCTGCTGTCACACAAAATTTCCCTGTGCCACACCAACCCAAAATTTCTGGCTACAGGTTTGAGTTTACACACTTCTGTCCTCCTCTATTTTGTCCTCACAACAACTCTGTGAGGTAGGTGAAAGAGAGAGAGCATGCACACATGTGTGTGTTGTGTGTGTGTATATATATATGGTTGTGACTGGCCTGAATTCATCCCTAACGTGACAATCAGACTCTCCACTTCTGCAGTAAATGGGATGCTATATTTGAAAGGGGTCAAAACAGATACCTGATCCTGGGATGACCAGGTGCCGTTTCAGTCCTCATTCCAATGGCATCCTCAAAGGACTTCCTTTACTTTCTACCTACCCTAGAAGTGAATGGTTGCCAACATACTGGAGGACATGAAGCTGCTTCATATCAAGTCAGGCCTTTGGGCTGTCTCATTCAGTGCTGTCTACTCTTACTGGAAGCAGCTCTCCAGCGTTTGGGGCAGAGGGAGTCTTTGTTGAGCACCTGCTTCCTGAGAGCTCTTTACTAGAAACACCAGGGACTTCCTGTGTGTAAAGCAAGCTGAACATGGCCACTTCCATCCCATTACTGGTCAAAGCATAGGCTTAAGGGGCAATCTGTGTGTGAGTGTGTGGTGGGGAACCCACACTTAAGGTTGTAGCAAGGCAGTGGAGAAGGTTGTGTGTAGGTGCTGTGACACACATCCTGTGGTTTCAGAACATCCTGCCATTCTTGTGCAGAGCAGATGCAGCCGAACAGATCTTGCTTTCTTCCTTTCTGAGTTCATGTGACCAGCACCCCCCCTCCACACACACCCCCCATGGGCTGCTGAGGAACTCACTCCGCTTCCCTTTCCCTTGGCAAGGCAGTCCTTGCCTCTTTAACGAGAGAATAACAGAAGTCATTGTTAAGGGCGGTTACCATGGGGAAAAACATTTTCAAGATGGGCTGTCCCTCCATGAACAGAGATCAGCCTTCCTGTTTAATACGGGGGGGGGGGACTTCATGGGAATTTAAAGGCGTTGTGCAATCTGAGCTGAGCCCTGTCATTGTTTCCTTTTTTTGAAAAATAAGCAAGGCCCCCCCCCGAGATCAAAGCCGCAGCATCCGTGTTACTCAAAGAAGCAGAAAGGAAGTGCGGCTGCACATCGCTTTGAGTAGACAAAGTTTGAAATGTTGGGTGTGGACTTTTGAGTCGCATAGGATTCAGAACCAAAGTGAGCAGGGAGGGCACAATTTTATAATTATGCGTTTTTGTACTGAGAGTGAGTGCGTATGTCCATTCACCCCCTCCCGCCTGAGCATGTTTAGCATAATTGTGGATGTTTGCGGGTCTTGTGACTGAAATGCCAAGTTCCACAGGCTGCTCTGGCTTGAAATTTTCTGCTGTCCACTGTAGCGTGGTTACAACACCCCCTTATTTGCAGCTGAGCACTTTACTGGGTGTAGGTTGAGGTCTTTCACATCACCTACTACCCTCCCGACCTTGTTTTGACACCCCCCCCAGCATTTAATATCTTCTGTATTGTGTATATTGTCACCTTAATAATGGGAGAAACTGACAGTCCTGGTATTTGTGGCTGATGGAAAGAGAGAGAACCCCTCCCCCCAAAGAGATGTCTCTTCACTTAATGGCCCACATGCTGGATGTTGACTGTAAAATAAAAAGTTTTTAAAAGCCACCTTGTTTGGGGTCTGAAATAGGAGGACTGCCGTATGGTGTGGCAGAACGTTGAAGCATGAGTTTAAGGAGCCCATTAAAAATGGATTAAGAGGGATTTTGTTATATTTTGGGTCCCAGCCAGGCGTCCTTGAGGAGCTCTCCAGGCGCGGTTTGCCTTCCCCACCCTTAGTTAAAGGATTAAAGTACTCTGCAAAAAGCCATTTTAAATCCAGTTGCCACCTTTTTAATCTGGGAAATTATGGGCAGCCCACTCGGTGGGGCAAGACGAGTGTAACGTGGAGGAGCTTGTCATGACCTCGTCGGGGCCTCTGATAGCATCATATTGTTTGTATGATTGTGCAGGACATTGCAAGACAGGCTACATCAATTTTCATTTTCAGAGAGAGTTCAGCAGTGGTTAGAGATGCATGTGAAGATCCTTTGGTCTTGTATGTGGGGTGTCATAAATGCTGGGGCACTTCCAAAATAACCTACAAAGCGGAAATGTGTTGCTTGCTGTGAGACAACCCAAGAATGACACACTTAAGAGAACCTGTCTCCAAAATAACCTGCAAAGCTGAGGCTGAGATGTGTTTCTTGTTGTGAGAAAACATAAGAACGGCACTGTAATGATTCCTTGTTTTATGTGTGTGTGTGTGTCTCTTTAAAAGTTTGGTTGCATGGTGGTAAGTAGACTTGGGTGGTTAAGAGAAGTGAGCATGATATGATTGGTGGTTGACAGAGAGGGGGAGAGGTTTTAGAAATGAAAATGAGTGGATGAGTATGTGTGTCAGTCTAGAGTTTCAGTTAGGTTTGACAGTTGATGTTCAGTTAGATAGTTCGTTCTGAGGTCTGTGAGAGAAGCAGTCTTGTGTGTGATATAAGAGTTAAGTTCTGTGTATGAAGGAAGTTAGAGAGAATAAGAAAAAAATAAATGAAAGTTTAAATTGAAGACAAATTATAGGAAAGGCTGTATGTCCTGATAACTTGGAGAGGAACAGTGAACTTATAAGACCTTGAGTTAAAGTGTTACAAAGTTACCTTAAAGATCCCTGTCAGTAAGGGAGCAGATCTTGTGTGAGACACCAAGCAATTGTTGAAAATATTCACATTACTGGTTACATTGTTCTACCATTTTATTTATGAAATATTTCAATAAATCTTCTTTATTCAAGTATGCCAACTCTGAAATAAATACTTCCTTAGGACCACATAGATCCTCATGAGGCTTAAACTCAACCTACCTACCCAGTAAAGAGCCAAAGTAAAAGCATAAAGGTTTGGAAAGCCTTAAAATTTCCTGGTGGCAGCCGGATATACCCTAGTAGAACAAAATAAAGAACACTTTTAAAGGGAAACCAGTCCTCCCCATATAAGGGGTCGTCACAGGCACCCTTAAGAGAACCTGTCTCCATGTTCAGCAGAAGGAGGTGATAGAATGGCTTTATGCCACTTCAGACTGTCATTGGCCAAAGCCAGATTTGTAAGTTTCCCCACTTTTAAAAACAAAAACAAACCCCCCCCCCCTGCACATTTGTTTTAAAAATTAGCACTTCAGGAAGACAGGTTCTAGTTGAGCTAGTTCTTGGCATGCTGTGCTAGTTTTCCACATAGGGATTGTTAAAGAAAAATGTGATTGTGCCCCCGCTGGCAGTCTGCTGTGGTACAGTCCATTCTACCCCATCAAGCATGCTGCTGCCTCATTACCCCCTTATTCTGCTGCCAGTCTTAAGCCAGGCCTTAGATGCCCAGTCGTTAAAATGTAACACATGTGGCACTCCAGCACAAAGCAAGCAAAAGCCCAAACAGAATGTCCTCTAACCCTCCCTGAACTTGAACCAGTCATCAACGGGCACTCTAGAATATGCATCCTTGCCTGCAGAATGCAAGCTGAATTGGATGGTACTCCTCCAAAGCAAGATTTTCATTCTTTAGTTATACATACACACACCTATTGCACTTCCTAGCTCTTTTTATGTTTTTTTAAAACCTCAACCCCATCTTACTTGAAAGTAGGGGCAGAACAGATGGAAGTTGGTTTAGATGCTTGGTGCTTGCCCTCACAGAAATTGCAGATAGCCTCAGTGTGCAAGACACCTGTTCTGTTTGTTCAGACGGAACTCCTGCAACACAAAGAGTCTATGAAAATGGTGAACTGATTGGCAACCTGGAATAGTAGGAAAGGTGGCTTTCATGGTGCATAAACGGCACCCCAGTTGACCAATGTAAAACATACAAATATCTGGGCATAACCTTCCATGAATCCTTGAACTGGAATGCCCACATAGCCCTAACCAAAATAGCAGCTCAAGACCATAGGTGCAATAATGGGATTCTTCCACAACAAGGGTGGCCACCTCATAGACACAGCCATCAAGCTTTATGCTAGCAAGGTCATCCCCCAAATACTCCATGGTGCTGAAATATGGGGATGGCAAGACCAAGTCCTTACCAGGGTGGAAATAATCCAAAACAATTTTATGAGACGCATCCTGGCACTCCCAAGGGGGACACCAACAGCCATGACGCGAGCCGAGCTGGGTTTGCCTTCAGTAAGGGCACGTGCACATGCTGTAATTTTAATATTCTGGAAGAAACATCAGCTAGTTGATACAGGTTCCTTTAGCAACTCTAGCTCCATATTCTGCAAATTAACAACTCAACCCGATTTAGCATGCTATTCAACATTATTACTAAATATACAATCCCAGACGACTTATTACTCCCCTCAGGTAATAACTCTCATTTGCGGGATTGGGTTTACAATGAAGGCTCTCGAACTGACAAATCCTTAATTAGTCAACAGAAATTTGCCCCACGGTATCCGGCATTTTAAACAGACCACTCCAGAGCCTCCTACCTGGCTCATATCTCAATCTACAGCATAAGAAGGGCATTCACTGCTCTTTGTTTTCAGACCCTGCCAACTGAGCTGCTAAAAGGACGATATCTCAAAACCCTTACAACCAACGTACCTGTCTGTGAGGGATTTCGGTTGAAGATCTAACACACTACATTTTAGAATGCCCCCTGTACAGTGGTCCTAGAATCAAATTCCTCAACCCAATCCTAACAACTTTACAATTCACATTAGGCACCGACATAGTAACCTTTCTACTCTTGGACGTCAATCCCACCATTTCTTACAGAATGGCACTCTATGCTTATGCTGCAAGAAAAATTAGAGATAGGGCTATGGAATGATTGTACTTTTAGAATATGTCATTTAGACATCTGATCTTAATACCTATATTTTCATTCACATATTCTATATTTTTAATACTGTCTTGTTAATTTCTGTATTTCTTATATTTTATGTCTTATATTGTGATGGCCAATGGCTATAAACAATAAACTTGAGTGAGGTGGCTTTGTGGAGGTGTCCATAATTTACCATGTCCTACTGGGAAGCTTCCTAGAAGCTACTGACTGGCCATTGGTGCAAATGAGATGCTGACAGGGATGGACCTTTGGCCCGAAACTGCAGGGCAGTGTTTGTGTTCTTAAAACAGCCAGTGTCGTGTAGTGAGGTCGTCAAACTACAATCTGGGAGGCCAAGATTCGAATCCCCACTCTGCCATGGAAGTGGCTGGTTGACCTTCGCCCCGTCATACACTCTCAGCCTAACCTACCTTAAGGGTTATTGTGAGGAAAAAATGGAGGAGAGGAAAATGACTGAGAAGAAACGTGGGGTATAAATGAAGTACATAAATAAATGTCTTCTGTCAGAGAGCGGGGAAGGGGGGGGGGCTGTGTATAAAGCCTGTCCATTAAATGTGCAATTTTAAATTGCATCTCTGTTTCAGATGCCAAAAACCTTAAGGCTGAGCAGGAAGATGTACCTCAGCTGATGCGCACACGAAGTGATGTTGGAGTGCGCCGCAGGGGGAACCTCCGCACCCCAAGTGAACAGCGCCGGCTCAAGCGCCACCGCTTCTCTATAAATGGGCACTTCTACAATCATAAAGTAAGCCCAGTTTTCCCTTGAAGGACCCCTTCCTCTTGTCTGCCAACTGAAGTCTACCTCCCCATCCCTGATCTCTGTCCCCCCCCCAAAGAGGTGATGTGGATGACTGCTGAATAGGGCTTTTTAGGGGGGTGGGAGGGCTTTGGAATTCTCTCCACCTTGAGGCTTGTCTGATGCTTAACTGTCCTGTCTTTTAGACACCAGGCCCAAACTTTTAGCTGAAGAGTTTTTATCTTTTTAATTCTGTTTTATGGTCTCCTTCCAGCCTGAGGACAGTTTTATGGAGGTTTTTTTTATGCTGCTCAATGTTTGTTTTTATGCCCTTAATAAGTCCACCAAAGAGCTCCCTGAGCTGTCTGAGTTGCTTTGGTTTGTGGCAGGACCCAACATGGGTACAGGTGGTAAGAGGACTCCTAAGGGCCATCTGCCAGCCAATGAATTTCAAAGACAAGCTGGGGAAAACCAGCAAATCCCCCTTCCCCAGATTGGTATTGTAGTACCTGACGTTTCACCAGCAGCTGTGACTAGCATCCTCAGAGGTGTAACACAGAAAGATGGAGTATTCTCTGTGTCAGTGTGAGAAGAAAAATGGTAGGTAGGTATATTGTATCTACTCAGGAAGGTGGGGTAGGGCTGAGTCATTATTGGGTAAGAGTTTCCCAGGTTGTGACATGCTAATGGAGGAGCTTTCCTGAGGAAGTTATTTTGCATATAGATTGGCTATTGAAATTCTAATCTTATCTGTAGTGCTGTTGTCAGATGTAGAGCATTTTGTGTTTCTCAGGACTGGAAACCATGCCCTATTTATTTTTAAACTCTCCTCTTTCCTGTTGAAATTGTGTTTATGTTTATGAACTTTAATGGCTTCCCTGTGTAATCTGACATGGTAACTGGATGTCTTGTCCAGCATTTCAGTGTCTTAGAATAAGCTACTGTGTCCTGTTTGAGTTAGGCTATGTTCAATCACTGCTGATTTTTCAGGTTGGCCAAGTCTGCAGTGTCTTTCTTGTTCTTTTATTCCTGTCTGGATGCTACGTTGTGTGGTCCCGATGTAAAATATTAGAAAACATTAGAAAAACATTGAATGGCACCAAAATGAACACAGTATGCATTATTGGCCCACAAGTGGGAAAAAGCAAAGTGGAGGGGGGGCATGCCAGATAACATGGTACCTGTCGCTGTCCTCCACCAAAAAGCCTGGTGGAAAATCTCTGCCTTACATGCCCTATGGAATTGCATGAGGTCCCACAGGGCGCAGATGTTATTTGGCAGAGCGTTCCACTAGGTAGGAGCCAGGACTGAAAAAGGTCAAGGACAGCTGGGCTACTTTAGGGCTAGGGATCACCAGCAGATTATTTCCAGCAAAGCATAGAGCTCTTCGAGGGACATACCAGAGGAGGCGGTCCCAAAGATACATAGGTCCCAGACAATGCTTTCTCTAAACTGTGGAGTCTTGTGAGCAAAAATTCTACTTTGTGAGTTCCTGGCATTAAAGTTGTGAGCAAGCAATTTGGCTACTGCATAAATTAGTTTGCTCTGGAGCCATCCTTCCTGAGCGAAGACAAAAATGTGTGAGTCGGAGGCTAAAAGACTGTGAGCTAGCTCACACTAACTCAGCTTAGAGGGAACACTGGTCCCAGACTGCTCAAGGCCTTAAAGGTCAGCACCAAAAGCTTTAACCTGACCCAGTGCTCCACTGGGAGCCAGTGCAGCTGGCGCAGCACAGGTTGAATGTGTGTGGTCCGTGGTGTCGCAGTCAGGACTTGCACCGCCACATTCTGGACCAGTTGGAGTTTCTGGATCAGTCTCAAGGGCAAGCCAACAATAGAGCAAGTTAACAGTAATCCAGTCTAGAGGTGACCATTGCATGGATTACTGTGGCTAAGTCAGGGCGAGACAGAAAAGGGGTCAGCTGCCGCCTGGCACAGCTGGTAAAACGCCAGCTTGGTAACATTTGTGATCTGGGTCCTCATGGATAAGGTGTCCAAGACCACACTCAAACTCTTGACAGTTTGCGCCAGTATTAGAGGTGCACCCTCAAGAGTGGGAAGCTGAAACCCCAACCCTGAGTCTCCCCCACCCAGCCACAGAACCTCCATCTTAGTTGGATTCAGTTTCAACCAACTCTTTCTCAACCATCACGGCCTCCAGCTCCCGGCCAGCTTTTGTGGAGGGGAGTCCGGACACCTTCCCATCAACAGATACAGCTGTACTGATGACATCCCAGCTTGAAACTCCATGCCAGCTGGGCAAGGGGGGCATATATAGATTTTGAACAAAACCGGGGAGAGGATTGCCCCCTGAGGAACCCCACATGTTAAGGGGAACCTAGTTGCCACCCTTCCCCCTAGTGCCACCCTCTGTCCCTGACCTTGGAGGAATGAGGCAAGCCACTGTAAGACCATCCCACACACTCCTGTGTCGATGAGGCGGTGGGTCAACAGATCATAGTCGACCGTATCGAACCCTGCTGGATGCTCTGCACATCTGGCCAGTGCCACGTTCCCACCAATCCACCCCCCATCTTTCACTTCTTTGACATCCAGCACTCCCCTCTTCTGATTCCCTGGGTTGTCTTTCTCTTCCTTTTCACAGACATCGGTGTTCACACCCGCCTATGGCTCCATCACAAACGTCCGAATAAACAGCACAATGACAACACCACAAGTTCTGAAGTTGCTGCTCAACAAGTTTAAGGCAAGGTTTTGCGGTGATTTTAAGGGTACTGGCACAAAAAAAGTTTGGTACCTGAGTGGGAAAATCCCAGTGGCACCTTCCCTCTCCCTGCTTAATCCAGCATGGAATTAGGGATAGTACAGAAGAGGGCAACCAAGAAGATTCAGTGGCTGGAGCACTTTTCCTATGAGGAAAGGCTGAAGAATCTGGAACCTTTCAGTTTAGAAAAGAGGTGACTAAGGAGGGTGACATGATAAAGATTTATAAAATTATGTACAGGGTAGAGAGAACTTTCCCTCCCTCTCCCAAATACTAGCGCTAGGAGGAACCCAATGAAGTTGACAGGGAAGTAGATTCAGGGCTGACAAAAGGAAATACTTTTTACTCAACTTAGTTTATTTATCAGTGAGTAATTAAATTGTGTAATTCACTGCCAGTGAATGTAGTGTTGGCCACCACAGCCGTAGATGGCTTTAAAGAGCATTAGATTGCCAATCTTCCTCAGTCTTTAAAAAAAAACATTATAAGGTGAGCGCTATATCACTTCAGTGGAGTCAGTGCATCTCAGTGGTGCTGCTATAGCACTGAAGTGCTGTAGCAGTCTAAGACTGTAGTGCTCACCTTAGAACATTAAAAAGTATGAGATTGTGTGGTGAAAAGGGGCAGGGAAAAAGGCAGCACTGTAGGGACTGCTGTGAACATTTGAAACAACATAGCACAGCAATTCAGAAGCATAATGAAGGGGTTGAAAATGGAAAGAAGCAGTTTCCCTCAAAAGCGGCTCAACCACACTTTGCTAACCCGATGCAAGTGGATTTGTATGAACAGGTAAATGAATTCTGCTAGCAGCCAGTTACTGAAATTGTTCTGTCTGAAATGACAGTAAAAATCCATTAGCAACCAGTTACTGAAACAGAACACAAAGGCAGTTTGAAGAGGGTCATCAGTTGTGCCTCTCTGTCTTTCCGGCGGTTGCCCTCGGGTACCCCTGGAAGTCTGCTGCTTGATGTGGCGGGTCTTCCTTTCCTTGCCTCATAGCTGGGCTGCTGAGGGTGACCTCTACAGCAAAAGATCCCAAAATCAGTCCATTGAGAATGTGTATGTGAGCTCCTTTGAGTTTCATTGATCAGGAGAAAAGTGGGACAGAAGTATTTTATATAGGGGAATGTCAAATTCATTAGCAGAAATCTCTGGATTTCAGCATGTTTTCTTTGGGAAGTTCTTTTTGTGGGATAATCTAGGTAAATGAAGTGTGTAAGTTGAAAGTTCTTTCGCGTTTTTTACATTTTCAGATTGAAAACTCTGCAGAGGAGTTTGCCCTGTACATTGTTCACACTAGTGGAGGTAAGCAGCCCACAAAGGGTGTTCAGGGGCTTTGGAATGAGAAGTGGTGTAGCACAGTGATGGAGAGTGCAAGCTCTGATTGAGGAAGTCCCTGGTTCAGTTCCCACCCCTGCCATGGACTCAGTAGGTCAGAACGAGATGTTTTGCAAGACATGCAGGGCTGTGTCCCAAAGCAGCAACTTTCCGTCACATGAGCACATGAAGCTACCAGCCCTGACCTGGATGGCCCAGGCTAGCACCGTCTCATCTGAACTCAGAAGCTATGCAGGGTTGGCCTTGGCCCTGGCTAGTATTTGGAAGGGCGATCTCCAAGGAATGCCAGGGCCATGACACAGAGGCAGACAATGGCGAATCGCCTCTGAAACGTCTCTTGCCTCAAAAGTCTAGCTCGACACCTAGTGAGGCATAACGCTAAAGAGCCAGAACTTCTGGCTTCCAGACAATACTTGGATCTCCTGGCTACTACACACAATGCCATAGGACAATTAATTAATTAAGCTACCTTATACCAAATCACACCATGGGTCCATCACGGTCACTATTGTCTACTCAGACTTGGATGCAGCTCTCACAGGGTCTCGGCTGGAGCTCTGTCACATTGCCTACTACCTATCCTTTTAACTGGAGGTGCCAGGGTTTGAACCTGGGACCTTCTGCCAGCCAAGCAGATGCTCTACCACTGAGCCACGGCATCATCCACCAGTAAACGTGTGCCTCGAGATCACTGGACTCCAGCTTTCCCTGCCGTCGCATCCCTATATGCATCAGCCGATGGAAGTGGGTATGGAAGCTCTGAGGACAATGGTGTCACATTGCCCATTTTCTAAAAGGCTAGATCTACATCTGCAGCACAGTGGGGGAGTCAATTCCTGAGGTGCCAGATCAGATTCTGTACCATTTTGGACTGCAAGATGGGAAAGGCAATGTTTGAATGCTCTCTCACGGAAAAGTCTCCCTGCAAGCAGAAGAACTAGCACAGCAGAGAGAAGGATCTTTCAAGCCCGGTCTTCTGCTTGTAGTGCGAATTCTTGACTTGGAAGCAGTTTTACTACTATTCTTAATAGGTAGGCAAGGAGGGAAGGCAGCATGGTGTAGCCCCATCTCATCAAATCTCGGAAGCTAAGCAGGGTCAGGGAGACTTTGCAGAGGCAGGCAATGGGAAAACACCTCTGCTTCTCAGTTGTCTTGAAAGCCCCTTGCTGGGATCGCCTTTAGTCAGTTACGACTTGATGGCACTTGCATACATAAATAAGTTGGAGAGCATTCCCAAATGTGACTTTTTTTTCACTTGTGCCTTGACAGAGGTTTACTGTCTGTTCTACTGCACATGTAGGCCAAGTCCTGTGAGCTAGAGGGGAAGAGATGTGGGCTTCCTCTCTATGGCAGGAGCCACACACTCTCACTTGTCTTGTGGAGGAGTGGAGTGGCATGCTGCACTTGGGACAGGTTGGCCTTATCAAGCTATTTCTGTGTGCCAGTTGTCCATTCCTCCAAGATGGCAGTTAGAATGCACTGCTGTAGCCCAGTGATAACATAAGAGAGTTTTTGCTAATTTGCATAAGAGCCCTGGAAGTGAACAAGAAAGATCTGAAATACCAGATCTCTCCAGACTGCTCTACAGTGAGGTTTCCCCCCATTCCTTTGTTGGCCGAGTGTAGATATGCAGTAAAACAGAGCACAAGCTGTTTAAAGAATAAAGTCGGTTTATTAACAAGGGAACAAACTTTGTAAGAAAGAGGAGACAGAAAGAGACGGCTAACTAGCTAGCAGGGAGTCAGTAATGAAGAGATCTCAGCAGGAGCTGGAAAAACCCCAGTGGAGCCAATCAGGAGACAGGAAAAAGACTATTTGAAAATAGTAGGAAGTCCCTCATCTCACTATGCTAATTAGTTGTCCCCTCTGCTGCCCCCTGCAGGATATTCTTGCCATTTTCTTTATCTAATCACAATAGACCTTGCATATTCCAACAGCCTTAACAGTGGCTTGTGGGGCATAACAACTCCTCCATATCCTAAGTGGGTGGTGGGGCAGCAGCTGCTATTCAGCGAGCACATATGCAAAGCCCATTTTGATTTTTTGGACCCTGGATCTATGGATCCTGGCTGCAGTTGAGAAATGTCAGTATAATGCCAATTTTGATGCAATACCTTTTCCCATGCTGCATTAAACCAAATTGCCAGCACTGTGTCCTGGTTTCCCAGAATGTTCTTGCTAAGCTTAGCTTCTGCCACTCCAAAGACAGTTGTTTCTTGGAGACCTTTTTATAGATCACATGAAGGTGTCTGATACTGAGTAAGCTCATTCATCTCAGTAATGTCCACTCTGACTGGCAATGATTTTCCAGAGCCCTAAGTGTAAAGGTCTTTCACATCACCTGATTCGTTTAACTGGAGATGCTGTGGGTTGATCCTGGGACCTTTGATATACAAACCAGATGCTCTTCCACTGAGCCACGGCCTGTTCTCAATGGGTGAATGTGGAAGTAAAGGTGGAGTCAGGAGTGTTGCCTTCTCCAGGGTCCTCAGTGCCTTGATTTTTTTTCTTTTTTGTACACAGAAAAGCAGAAGCTGAAGGCCACCGATTACCCTCTGATTGCACGGGTTCTGCAGGGGCCATGTGAACAGATTTCTAAGGTTTTTTTGATGGAGAAAGACCAAGTAGAAGAAGTCACCTATGACGTGAGTTGCTCTGCAAATATTTTACTTTCAGGGGTTTGTGCCGATTCACTTTTGAAAGCCATCTGCAAGGACTGGGAGTCAGAAATGAATGTTAGGAGGAGGAAGACTTATCAGCTTGTACTTGGGCCTTTCCTCTAACGTTTGTGCTTCAGATCCAAAGAGCTGTCATTGCTTTGTAAAGTTCATGTCTCCCCAGTTCATGCACAGTCAGCATTTGTATATGTTTGGTCAGCATCAAGGCAAAGACAAATTTCTCTTTTTGTGTTCTGTGCTAACAGAGAAGGGCATTGGCAGGGAAAATACCTCTCTGCTGCCATCTAGTGGCCAGATTAAAACCACTCGTTTCCATAAACATACACTATAAAGAAAGGGTGCTGGGATTAGACCTCACGCAGAGAGAGAAAGGGGGTGGAAATGTTTAAATGGAACAAGGACCTTTCCCCACCTGGTATGTTAAGCTGTGCTTTGCAAGTACAGGGTATCATTTAATGGAAAATGCTGATGCCTGACAAAACCTGTGTGTGTGTTACATGCCACCAAGCAGCTTCTGATTTTTGCTGACCCTGTGAATAAATGACCTCCAAAAAGGTCCGGACATTGACAGCCTTGCTCAGATCTTGCAAACTGAAGGCCACAGCTTCCTTGATTGAGCCAATCCATCTCACGTTAGGTCTTCCTCTTTTCCTGCTGCCTCCAACATTTCCTGACATTCTTGTCTTCTCATGATGTGACCAAAGGTAAGATAGCCTCAGTGGATTCATCTTAGTTTCTGGGAGGAATGCAGGCTTGACTTGATGTAGAATGTTGTACATATTAGATTCCATGTCAAAAATGAAGTCAAATGAAGAGGAAGTTCTTGTATTTTATTGTAATGAAATACGGAAAACAGTTAGGCCAAAGGAGCCATCAAAACGGATTGCTTTCTTCTCAGCATAATCAGGAAACATGCCTCAATTAATAGGAAAACAATTAGATCAAATAGTTAACCAAAAATTGACAACTTTCTTCTTTTTCTTCTTCATCTTCTTCTTGAGCATATTCTGAACATATTCAGGAAATACATGATATTTTATACATGGACTGACATCATCAAGAAAACAATATTCAAACAGCATAATTGGTTACAAAAGACAGTGGTAATTTGAGTAATAATCCTCTGATTGGCCAGATATAAAGAAACATATCTATATCAAACTTAAGTGTTTACTTAACCTAACCTAAATGATAATGGGCAAGGATTCTTCAGGTCAGACTAAAATCTTATCTGACCCAGACATTGAAAGGTTTGCCCTAAGAACTACAGAATCATGAACTTTGTACCTATTATGTTGTCTGCTAACAATATCAGACCTACAAGAGGAAAGCCTTCTATATAACAGGCCTTTCTAACATCCTAATAAAATATTACTTAAAGAATAAATCTATAAAAACCAGAGAGATATGAATATGAACAATCAAGAAGGAAAAACCTATATATGAAAATCTTTATATTCCCATTCATACTACAAGAACTCACTTATTTATCTTTTGAGAGGTCCATGGCATCCATAAAACTTTCTTCCAACACCACATTTCAAACGAATCAATTTTCTTCCTGTCGTTTTTCTTCATTGTCCAGCTTTTGCATCTATACTGTCGTTTGAATGATCTCAGTCTCCGGTATCATGTAGTAGAACAGGAGCTGGTCTGTATTTTTTTTTGGGGGGGGGGAGGTCACTAATGGATTTCCCAAACGGTGCTGTAGCTGCAGGCATTCCCTTGTTTTTAACTCTGAATCTCAGCTTCCCCAGAAACACATTTTATTTTTTTTCAGTTTAGAAGCAAAAGGAGGGGAAGTGGCGTAGGGGAGGGCCGTATAAATGTCTATAAAACTCTGAATGTAGAGAGAGAGATTTCCCCCCCCCCAGCTCTCTTAATCCTAGAATTAAGGGGTCATAGAACAAAGCTAGCCCAGGTTAGCCCGATCTCATCAGATCTTGGAAGCAAAGCAGGGTCGGCCCTGGTTAGTATTTGGATAGGAGATGTCCAAGGAATACCAGGGTAGTGATACGGAGGCAGGCAAGGGCAAACCACCTCTGAAGGTCTCTTGTCTTGAAAACCCTGCAGGGTCACCGTAAATCAGCTGTGACTCCACGGCACTTTTCACGACCAGAACAAAGCTGACTGGCAACAGGATCAGGACAGACAAAAGAATCTTTTAACACAGAGAATGGGTTTCCATGTGCATGGCCAGCTGTTGCCAGAAGAGTCAGACAAAGTCAGCTTGTTTTAACTTCGTTATTGTATTTTGGCTTTTATGTATGGAAACTGTTTTCAGCCTTTTTTGGAAAAGTGGCATAGAAATAAATTAGTAGGGGGGAAATTTTGGTCTGATCCATCAAGGTGACTCTTGTATTATTTAAGGCATTTTGGGCTAGACTTTCCTCATAAGCAGAGCCGTTCTGCTCGGAATGGAAAACCATTTTTATTAGTTTGTAGATCTTCTTGTCATATCTTTTACCTCTTGTCTTTCCCCCACACGTGTGGCATTCAGAAAGGGCAGGAGTGCAATTCTCCTGTTGACGCCAATTGCACACAGTGGGGTGCAGTCAGATCCCCAGATGGCATCGTGTGAAAGCCTCTTGCTAACAGTGCCATCCTAAGCAGAGTTACGCCCTTCCATGCCTATGGATGGGGTACAACTCTGTTTAGGATGGCACTGCAAGTCTCTTGCAAAGTCTGTGCTGAAGCATTTTGCAATGGAAGGAGCGGTCTTGTGATGCAATTGAGCCTCCAGCTCATATTCTGCCAGGACCTAGTTGAAGTTATGCAGGGTGGTGCCCCAATTTGGACCGGGAATAAGGATTCTGCAGCTCTGTTCTCCGAGGTTGAAATCAGATTTAGGGTCTCGAGCTGAGGGGGTGGACACCGAAGCCTGAAGTGGAGCAGATGAAAGACGATCAACCAAGAGCTGAAGGCCAGGCCCCTGTCCTGTAGGATTTATATCTGGCCTAGCTAGTCCAGAGATTTTGCACTGTTCTCCAGTCACAGGGTATGATGTTGCATCCCTTCTTCCCTTCCACATAAGCAGAGGACTCTGAGCACAAACAGTCCCAAGGGATTCCAGCATCCTCGCAGTGCTGAGCAAAACTATGGCCCTGTTCCTGCTAAAATTGCTCAAGCAACACAGGAAGGAATGTTCTGTGCTGGAACGAAGTGCTTCGAGTGGCACTTAATGGCAAGGGGTCAAGGCTCAGCAAAATTAATAGCTTTCCTCCAGCCTAAAGATCCTTTCTCTGGCTTAAGTGGGTTTCTTTGTCCAGAAGAAGAGCTACTGAGGTTGGAGTAACGCTCCTTAGGCTGGTGGGGGAAGACTTTACACTTAACAGACAAGAGGGAGGATACCTGCAAGTGAGCTACCTTTGGATCCTTTCCTGGTTCTTCCTTGCTCCTGTGATGTGTACACTAAGTCGTGGGTGCATCTGAAAATTCAGGAAGTTTGCTGTTGCCACAAAGAGCACTTTGGAGTCTGCAAATGTTTGTTCAGCTCTTCTGTGCTCTCAGATGAAGGAGTAAAATTGAAACCACTCTGGGCAGAACTCAGTACTTGAAGATAAAGGTCAATCGCAAGATTTCCCCATTTTTCTTTCCCCTGCAGGTTGCCCAGTATATCAAATTTGAAATGCCCGTCTTGAAAAGCTTCATTCAGAAACTCAAAGAAGAAGAAGATCGAGAAGTGAAGAAACTGAGGCGCAAGTAAGTTCTTCCTTGCCAGGGAGGTGGAACTAGTGGCTTCTAGTCCTCAAGGCCAAGAGTTTTACCAAGTGCCTTGGGACATGACAGCAGAGGACAGAATAATTCTGGAGGTGTTTTCACAGGTAACGCTGAAAGTGCCTTCTGGCCTGCTACTGTGGCATATTTTCTCAGACGTCCGTCCTACTGTGTTTATTGGCACTTGTTCTCAAATAAGCAGTCTTAGGATCACTGCCTTAAGAGCTTTTTGCACTTTGGGTCTGCATGTCTAAAGAACATATTGTAGTCCTGAATGTCCAGGAACATGTTACCATCCACTCAGAGAGGCGTGGAATGGCAGGTACCTCTGACATTATGGCGGCTTGATTTTTCAAGGCCTGCTTTTGTCCCCTCCCAGCAACCGGTGTGAGAATCAATACTGTGTGATGCCACTAGCCATTCCTCCCCTCTTACTTGCTGCAGACCAACCTGGCTCATTCTGTGCATTTTTTTAAGGTATTCGGTTCTGCGCGTAATGATTGAGCGGCGGTTGGAAGAGATCTCCGAAGGCCCAATCACAATGTAATGCCACCCTCCATGGAGAACTGTGCTAGAGCCTGGCGTCCGGAAGAGAGAGACTTCTTAAAGATGACAAATGCCCTGTGGCGAGCAAAGAGGATGCTTCCTCCCTGCAACTGAACTCGAATATGGAACTCAACTTTGGCCATTGTCTCATCCTTGCTCCCCAGTTGTAGAAGGAGTCTGTAGGTGCTGAGGCTTCCAAGGACTAAATGTGGGTCATGAGCTTCACACCTTCTGTCTTCTGCTGATGAGCTTCCCAGAGCCATCTGAGTGGCTGCTCCGGGAAGTGGGGTGCTGGGTTAGGTGGTCTTTTGCATCTGATCCCTATGTTCTTAGGGGGCTGTTAGCCATAACTGTGTCTGGATGCCACCTCTTTGCTTGTCAAAAATGTCAGCCTGTCCTTCACATCAAACTTCTTTGGTCACGATTAAGGTTTAGAGGGAAGCCTACCCTGTTGACATTCCTTCCCCCCCCTGCCCTAATTAGGCATTGGTGCTTTCCAAGGTCCTGTTATGGTCCTCACCCCAAGAGGGGCTGCTGCAGCACCATTCAACCCAACCACCACTGAGAGTCCTCAAGCACCTGTGGCTCTCTGGCCTTTTCCCTTGTTCTTTGTAAGCCTCCAAAGCAAGTTCTTTCTGCCTTCTGCTGGATCGGCAGAAATGCTGCCCCAAGTGGGCACAGATGGTTTGAACTTGCTAAGGTTGCTTTCATGCATGTTGGATAATGCACTTAAGCAAACATTTGCAACTGGATTTTCCTGTTTCACACAGGAATACCTAGTTGCAAACAATTGCTAAAGTACATTGAGAGTGCATTATCCAGTGTGTGTGAAAGCTGCCTGAATCTCAGTCTCTTCCACAGACACCCCCCTAGCCCCTTTGCATCTATCTCCAGGTAGTTCTCTCAAGTCCTTCCCCACAGCACACTATCTTCTTTGAGAAGAAAAAAGAGCTGAAAGACCCAAGTCGAAGGTATGAGGCATTCATCTTGGTCCGAAAATGTGCTTGTTGGGTTGACTTTTGAGTATGGCCAATGTCATTCGTCTGAAGCATGGTTCTCAATGAGGCATGAGAGGGGCTCTGAATGACTGTCACTGACAGCCAAGCCCAGGTTCCTTACTCTCTGTACCGCTAGGACAGGTTGCAGGCAGAAGGAGCTGTTGGCCTCAACTCCTCTGTTCTGCAGCACCACCAGTGCAGGTGGCCAGAAGGGGGCAATTGCACCTAGTTGCTCAGTGCAGTCTGATCTGCTGCAAACTGCCTGGGTCTACTGAACCTCTGACCTAGCATACAGTTGCTGGTCTTTACAGTGATGTGAGATGTGTAAAGGAGGTTTGGGCAGACCAAGGGGTACTATCTGGAAAGGGCTGGAAGTCCCATCTTTCCCCTTTTATGACCCTTCCTCAGGAACACCAGTATTCCTGGCCAGCTTCCTGCTTCTACACATTCAGTGCCGATTGTTTCAAGCTATTAAATGAGCTTGCTAAAGGCTTGGATCCTTTTGCATAATTTGCAGAAGGGTGACGATTGAACCTTGAATGAGTTTAAACTTGAATATATCCAAGAGTGAGCTGTAAAATTCTTGCTGTAAATCTCATCCTTCCCATGGAAATCTCTTTACCCCGCAACTGCACTGATCTCTGAAAATGGCAACCAAGGACAGGACTTGAATGATTAAAGATGATGCTGACTCTTGAAGTACCATTTTCAGGAACCTTTCTGCATTCCATCGATATTAAGGCCATACCCAGGGATACTGGCAGCAGCAGATGCCTATAGAAGGATTACCTCTTGTTTAGCAATGAAAAGTAGAGTGTTCTTTTCCCTTTTTCTGTTTGTTTAAAAGAGCCAGGAAATCAGGATTCTTGGACAGGACTTAGAATGGAAGAATATGCAACATTACTTGCAAGCGTGTGTGTGGCTGTGCATGCAAGACCCCAGAGGACTTATCCCTGTCCCCACTTGCTGTTTTTTCCTCCCAATTGGCACTCCAATCTGTTTTCCCCTTCCCTGCCAAGGACTTCCAGGTACTCATTTATCCTCTGAAACGGGCCAAACTTTATTAAACTTCAGAACAAGAAATCAACAGAGAGCCCGTATAAAGTGCATTTGCATAACTGCAAGTATACCACTTAAACATTACTGATAACTGATATGTCAACCAGCCATAAAGTTTCTGCAGCCCAAACACTGGTTGTTTCAGGTCCTTTTTTAGGAAGTGGCCCCCACAGAATCTCAAAATAAGTAATAGGTACACACAGCAGTGTCCCATGTGACTGCCTTAGTGCACTGGCATAAACCTGCACTGGATTACCGGCAGATGTTCACCTATCGTTTTGCTTTCTGTGAAACATCTTTAAGTAGCCCCTTAGTCCCATAATAAATCCTTGCCTGCTTTTTCTTTTATTCTAGTATCCCCCTACCCCCTCCAGCATACCTTAACA